GTATATAAACTCTCCATTACTTGACTAGAGGATTTTACCTCTTGTTGACTGTTTTAATTGGACGAGTATTCTAAAATACAACCTTGGTTCTTAAATGGTATATAAACTCTCCATTACTTGACTAGAGGATTTTACCTCTTGTTGACTGTTTTAATTGGACGAGTATTCTAAAATACAACCTTGGTTCTTAAATGGTATATAAACTCTCCATTACTTGACTAGAGAATTTTACCTCTTGTTGACTGTTTTAATTGGACGAGTATTCTAAAATACAACCTTCGTTCTTAAATAGTATATAAACTCTTCATTACTTGACTAGAGGATTTTACCTCTTGTTGGACTTCTACAAAGTATGTATTGTTATGTAAAATAGTGAATCTTACGGACTTCTACAGAGTATGCATTTTGTAATTTGTTTAGGGGAAGAAACGCAAGAAATAAAATATATATATCCTATGTAGCAATGTTATAATGTCCATCTGAAGTAATTAAACAAATTTACGCTAACACTTACTTGTATATGTTGATAATTGTCTCTTCAAGCTTACCAAAGTAACCTGAAATAGAAAAAGGTTTAATTTGACACACAAATTAACATCTAAATATGATATAACAATTAAAATGAAGAGAAAAATAAAGCTAGTATTTTTCATATAAAATAATTATCTCAGGATGCTTACAAACTTGTAATTATTCTCGGTAAAGCATTTCTCCAATGGACTATGATTCAGATTATTCTTTAAATAAAATCTAGCATCTTTAGGGGAATCCTGGTGTGCATGATCTTTCTCCTAAATAGGGATTTTGGATTAAAACACGCAATTATGCATTAAATCACCTGAGATGTAAGAACGTCTATCTTTCATAACGTGATTATGCATTATATGACTAGAGTTGTAAGAATGCCTCCGTAGCATTAGCATGCTAATTGTGCTTCGTATAATATGTGTTGGCTTTTGATCTCACAAATTAGAACCCTCTTTCAAACGTTCTACGTACAGACCTGATTTTGATCTATAGGAAAATCTAAGTTTCTGAATTAAAACAAAAAATGATGTATTACTGCACCAACCTTTAGCAACACTTCTAGTAACATTTGTCGATGGTTGGCACTTTGTAGTAGCAGTAACAAGTTTGCTGCTCATTCTACGGGTAGTGTATTGAGGAGTTGAGGTTAAGGACGGACGATGGGGTTGAAGATTGGACGGTGAAGTCGAGACAAATCCTTCTACAAGTTTAGATGGAAAAGAACTGGCATCATCGGTAATCACTCGATCAGAAATACCACTGCCAGATTCTTCGTCTTCCGTGTGGTTCTAAAACAACGAAACGTTTTAAAAATTGAAATGCACAGCATGTTGGGCTGCTGTTGGAATTAACGAATATTATTTGTAAATGCATACACATCTTTTATAAAACAAGAACCATGGAATTAATAATGAAAACTGGAGGTGCTACCCCATAACTGATTATTTACAGTCCGGTACGTTTGTCAGTTTGCTTTTTGATTTATTTCAATTTTAATTTTTACATAGGTCTTGAAAAGGCCTAAAGTTGAGGATATCAAACTGAAACGTAATGATAACAAAGAAACATAAGAACAACCATAAAAAAGTCTTATGTAAAACATTAATTTATTTTATATGATATTTGTTTACAGTATAAAATAAAGTTATGCCACATTTATAGCAGTAATTGAGAACCAATTTATTAAGTGATAATTTACAAGCTAAACGTTAGTATCTACTGAACTATAACAATTAAATAATTACTTAAGTTTATTAAACTATGAAAAAGAAAATTAAGATATATCTAAATACTAATTACAATCAAGTTAACTTATTTTAATAATAAAAAAATTACAACCTAAATTTTAATCGTTGCTTATATCGTTAAAAAAAATAATTCCTCTAATTTATAGTTACTGCAAACTAGATCTCCTAAGAAATATCTACAAAAGAATAAATGTGAACTTTGAGCACAGACATTAAACGTTGCTGACGAACTTCAATGATCCTTAATTACGAAGGGCGCTAGCTTAACAAACTTCCTTAAACGAGACATTTGGAGCCTGTTTACACTTGCTAATGATAATAATTGTGCAGGTTCTATTTTCGTTTCAATACCTCAAAAAGTATGAGAGATAAGAAATAACTTTTTAATATTATACTTAAACCACATAATTGCACACATATTATTACATTCTGTAATTCTAGAATGAGAACCAGTTATAAACTAAAAGTGTTCTACAAACTATTTCGTTAAATTCATTGTTCACTGGTGTGTGTTTATTATAATACTATTATGCAGAGAGCGTTTGAGATTAACAAATAACTTAAGAGGAAAAATATTTTTCAAAATTTTTATTATTGGGCAATAATGGTTTATTTGTTCAACATAACGATCTGTCGAAATTATACTTCTTCCAGTTACGAAAACAAGTAATTTCTCAAAGTAAACAAACTTTTATCTAGGCCTAGTTTCTGGCTATGTAACTTAAACTAAGTTAGAGTTTGCCCTCAAAGAAACACGATTTCGTACTACAGGAATAAAATTATACAGTTATAATATTTGTATAGTAGTTTACCAACTGAATAAATTGCACGAGCCTTTTAAATTTCCCACAGTTTTTAATCACTAATTATGTTTCGAATTCTGACTTCCTTTGACTCTCGTGACAAATTTACTTATTTAGCAGGTTATTACAGCTTGCGGAAACTTCCTGACTTACCACCTTAGATATACAGAAAGGCTAACATAATCCATTGTCGTAGAAACCTATTTTGAAGTAGTCAGACCATTGCTATTTCTAGGGGGTTCTAGAGACATGCCCCCAAGAAAAAAATTGAAAATTTAATGTATTGAAATTTAAAATTTTAATGTACTGAATTAAAAGAAGCAGGTTTTAATACAAAAGTCGTAGCTATAAATGCCATGAAAAAGTGGCCAGGCCATGGCCTTACTACTTCCTACGGCCCTGTAACAAATATTCACTGCAATCATACACTTAATCAAACAACAAGATTCTACAACCATGCCTAAAGATTAAATACACAGTTAAAAATTAACTAATTAATATTTACATTATATATGCTAAAGAACAACAGTCATTTTTCATGCGATACAAACGAGAACTGATTTGTTGAATGCATAGTTATGATCTTACAGTTATATCATTAACTTTTTATAAAGGGAAACGTCTATAAGTTTTATACAAACTGATGTCGTTGTTCTGTAAATATCTTTACACAAATCGATGTTACAATCAATGTCTTTGTTTTGGAAATGGAATTCACGTTATGCAACACAGCACCACTACACTAGCGACATACACTGTATGTTGGCTCCGATAAACAATAGATTAAAACAGTGGACTTCTACAGAGTATGTATTGTTATGTAAAATAGTGAATCTTACGGGTAAGATTCACTATTTTACTTAACAATACATACTCTGTAGAAGTCCGTAAGAGTCACTATTTTACCTAACAATACATACTCTGTAGAAGTCCGTAAGATTCATTATTTTACATAACAATACATACTCTGTAGAAGTCCGTAAGATTCACTATTTTACTTAACAATACATACTCTGTAGAAGTCCGTAAGATTCACTATTTTACATAACAATACATATTTTGTAGAAGTCCGTAAGATTCACTATTTTACATAACAATACATACTCTGTAGAAGTCCGTAAGATTCACTATTTTACATAACAATACATACTCTGTAGAAGTCCGTAAGATTCACTATTTTACATAACAATACATACTCTGTAGAAGTCCGTAAGATTCACTATTTTACATAACAATACATACTT